AGGTGGGTTGACTCTATGTTGGAATTTTAATCTAGGTGGGTTGACTCTATGTTGGAATTTTAATCCAGGTGGGTTGACTCTATGTTACATGTTGGAATTTTAATCTAGGTGGGTTGACACTATGTTGGGTTTTTATTCAGGGTGGCTAGACAGGTGTCAAGCATCATGCAACTGACCACGGTTTTAATGATTGACACCCACCACCTACCCACCTCACCAATTATTAAAAGAATAAACATACTAATTGAGAAAATATAATTGACACAGTGACTCCACCTCTGACTTACAGTATTTCCACAATGTTGAGGGCACATGAGAGTGCATACGCGTCGCAAGCCGAATCATCGCATGAGTCGCAAGGAACCGCCTGCAAACTCCATCGTCTCACAGACATCACAACAAACCGAGGACAAACTCCATCACTCCACACACACGCCGGAAGAGCAAGTTTCAAGTACCAAGACAGGTATCAATCAAGCAGATTCCTACCAGGAACCAAAGGCACTGCATGCACAGCCCCCTCGACCTATACTGTGCATGTCAACCTGGACGCAGGTGTCATAGGGGAGTTCAGCCCCTTCCAGTGACCCAGCCAGCAATGCTGCACTGGATCGTCCCCGCATATCCACATTGTATATTGCAAGCATGTGCCGGTGACATGTGCGGTTTGCACGTGGAGATAGAGTGTGTTCAAGTGTTTGTATTTATATATTGCATTAAACATCATTAAACGACCTACACACATATGTATACTAAATATGGTGTTCATGGAGCATACCGACCATAGCAAATGAATCATATTGTCACAGTCTCTGTATTTACATCCGCTAGGGTGCGGTGAGAAATTTGGGGCTTAGCGTTACACATTTCGGCTTTTTGAATTCACAAATACCACTGCCATTCACTGCCCCTACAGGAGCCTTAACACGTTTTAGCATGCGTTGCTCTTTGATTCCTGCCTGCTTCAAGTTCACGCACTCCCCACCAGCCACCCCAAAGGTCGCCGAAAGTTCAAGACCATTGGGCCTCCAATCGGCTGGTCGAACATATATATATATAATTTGCTAACCCGTGTGTTCGCGTTGATTAACAATGACATGTGTGTGACAAGAGAATCTAGTTCAATCACGATTCCATTTGGCATAGCTAGCTTTAGACACCTAAGGCAATGTATATATAGTTAGTACATATTAATACCATGTATATAATACTACTACTATCTATTACTATTGTCTTATCAGGATATCATAGGATATCTGTGCAGCATGTTGGTTCCCTCTGTAAACATACCAGAACATAATCGATATTGTACACCATTGTCATGAACTTTGTTTGCTGTTTGGGAAATCTGCTTTCCTGCGGTGGCTATCACAAGGACATCAATCACGCTTTAAACGAGCAAACTCGAAAAGCTGGAAATGGCCTCGGAAGTGCTTGACCTTTGTTCCTAGATGTTCCTAGTAGCTTCTTGTTCCTAGTAGTACGGCCAGGAGCCCCTAGTAGCGTCCTTGCTCCTAGTAGCGATGCCAGGAGCCCGGCTTCTTGCTCCTAATGGCCTCGGAAGTGCTTGAATCAACTTACTCCCTGACTTCCGCTCGAAGACCGTGTAGCTGCCAGCCTCCTCGGCCTCTGGAAAACCGATTTGTCATGCAGCTGCGAGCATTCAAGAGAAGTTCAACAAGTTCGTCCTCCAAAGATGATGCTCATCGTGTTTCACCTATTGAAGCATCTGCCCTTTTCTCTGAAAATGCTTAGGAAGTTGTGAAGTTCTTCCCAGTTTGGTCGAGCGATGCATTCTGCTTGTTACGTTTCCTCGGATCAACACCTCCTGGCGACTTACTGCACGGGAGGCAACCGCTGATTGATTGGTCCTGCATGCAAGCTGTCTGTTGAGCAAATTGATTCCTGGAGCTTCGCTCATCCGATGCAATCCTGAATATTAGAGGAGAAAATTGGAGAAGGAATTCCAGTGAAGGCCCCATGGCACGTAAGATTCCAAGCAATCAGAGGTTGGAAAGTTGGATCTTTCGAATTTCATGAGCAAAGTAGAGACCTTTATTGTAGAGCAACAACTTGCTGCATCAACAGCAGTCAGGCAGGTCCTGCGAGTCTCATTGTGAGTCTCATCTGCCTTCCGCTGGTAAGTGAGCTTGTACCTAAGAGACTGTTCACCAACAAGGGACAAACTCAAACAAACTTGGCTCTCTTCGACAGCAAGCAATGTCCGCATTAGAATGGAACAGTATCTTCTGCATAGGAAGATCACCTGCTGAAGGGATGCGGACATATTCAGCATTAAGCCATGCTGCAAAGCCTCAGTTGACAACAACTCCCCTTGCTCGGTGACGCAGAAATCAAAGATTGCCGTCATAGTGGCCAGACCTGGAGAGGTGGCAGTGAGGCTCTGGGGGGTGGAATACATCCATGATCGGCTGGAGCTGGTTGCAATTGAGATCAAATGCGACATCGGTCAAAAATGCCAAAATGTCAATTTGAAGATATTTCACCCACATGCGATTCAGCATGATTCAGCACACCGACCGCCCATCGAGCAGGAGTATTCGGATCCTCTGTCATCTAGACGTTCTAGCAGAGGTTCGAAGTCACTTAATTGCCCCCGATGAACTTGAGACCGGGGGAAGGAAACCTGGTGGACAGCGGCAAAGCGAGTCGGAACGGCAAGTGTGCGGGAGCAATTCTCCTCATAGGAAGTTACTAGGAGCTTCTTGCTAATGGTAGCGATGGCCTAGTAGCGATGGCCTGTAACCTACTAGCTTCTTTGCACCAGTCTGTGCCCAAGATTCGACGAACCATCCTTCCAAAGTTTGAGAGACCGAAACACTCGAACCAGACACCGCTTCCCCGATCACGGCGGACTCGAAAACCACCCAACCACAACAATCCGGCGAGGGTCAAAGTCTGAAATATCAGGGAACATCGGGGAACCAAAGTCTGGTCCAGGAGCTACTACTCCGAGCTACCCTGACCAATTCTTGCTGCAAAAACCATTTACAAACAGATACAGAAATATTGCAACGGCGTGCTAGAGTCATGGACATACTCTTCGCATCTCTTCGCGAACTGGCCGCAGCCGGTGACACAGTGACGCGCCCAAGTCGCCTCTGCCAAGGCCTGCCCTCTGTGTGAGTAAGGATTGGAGTTGAATGCTGGGCCGATCACCAAGAGAATGCCTCCACCAGAAGGAGTGGAGAACGGTGAACATGATGTTGATCCAACCGTGGCAAACTTTCAGATCGCTACGGTCACGCAAGACCATCAAATCTAGCGCAAAGCTTTAAGGCCATCGAATCGTTTAAACAGAAACTATACATATATATATATATACACATATGTGTTCAAGAAAAAAACAGTTTTATAATATAATATAGTTACTATAGTATAATAGGGTATAGTATAATAGCATATAATACAATAGAGTACAATATAAACTAAAGTATTGTAATATGATTTAGTATAATGAAATATAATGCAATATAAGTAATATTATATAGTTCCAATATTACGTGGGGTGCTCCTGTTGCTCAAGACCTGCAGCAACACCTTTGTACAATTTTGTACATGTCAACTCGATTGAACTTGTTGCGCTGCTCTTGAGAAACGTGTGACCGACACGTCAAGTGACGATGGAACAGGTCGAACAACTTGTGCCTTAGAAACAAAGATGCCCATTCCCCAGCTTTGCAGCTTGCATTGACCTCAGGAAGCTTCCACCATCGCGGTCCACATGGTCCACTGAGCCACAAAAGACTGAGTTTGCAATAAACCTAGAAATAATATGAGTTTGCAAGAGCTTGTCAGCCTGCCCAATCCTCAAAGACTCCAAGCCCTTTGGACCATTCAACTTGAACCCAAGGTTTTTTGCCTGGCACGTAGCTTTCGAAGAAAAAATCCTGGTCAACCACCAAAGAAGACCTTTCTGAGGCTACTCACCAGCTCGGAGCATCCCTCGGTCCCATCACCGGCCTAGTGCAGTGACGGTGTGGACGGACGACGAACGGGCCACGCCAAGGGCCAAGGGACCACTCGGCGGTTGGGAACACAGTATTCATCATGTGCTAGTAGCGTCCTTGCTCCTAGTAGCGATGCCAGGAGCCCCTAGTAGCTTCTTGCTCCTAGTAGCGATGCCCTTTGTTCCTAGTAGCTTCTTGCTCCTAGTAGTAAGGCCAGGAGCCCCTAGTAGCTTCTTGTTGCTAGTAGCGATGGCCTCCACCTAGTAGCTTCTTGTGACAGTCTTCTAGGAGTCTGTGAAAGGGGGGAGTGAAGGAACAGAGTCTTCTCATGTTCTCGTTTTCAACACTTTAACTACTTCATTTGTCACACTTTCAGAAAAGCGTGTTGTCCAACAGCTCACACCATAATGCTGTAATATGTTGTAATCACTGTATTGACATGCATTGACCGAAGGACCCCCCGAGGCCTTGAAGTCTGTTCCAGGCTCTACAAATTCTACCTGGTTCTACCCTCCCTCCATCTCCCTCAGCCTCGACAAGGCGGCCCATACGCATTGTTCTGGATTCATTCAATTGCCAAACTGTGCAATGTTTCCCTGCTATCTGCTGCACTCCTGGGCGCAGCCGGTGACCGAGCGGTGGTACACCCCCATGGCGGCAACAGCGACATCTGTCCTTCCACTGCAGAGGCTCGGTCGTAGAACTGAAGGGGAGCTCCAAAAACATCACTCCTCAAACAAAGCCAATCTGGATTCTGAGCTCTTGCCACAAATGACCAGCCTTTCTATCAAACCTGACAGAGAATACCTCGAGGCGAGGATGTTTAGCTTCAATGCGGCATATATTGAGAATGACTCCACCTCACCTCCTAGCAAGTAATGCCCGAAGTGTTGGCTCCACAGTCTTCGGTGCTTCAACAAAATGTGTGCCGTATACAGTAAACATATATATATAGTGTATACGTATGTATAGAATTAAATGCATATAAATACAGTACGTTGTATACGGTATACGGATTATATGTGCATGTATATGCGCCCCAAACCACGCGATGCCATCCAAGCATCATCGCACTCAAGAAAATCAACTTCTTGATTTCCTTTTTCATCATGATGCTCTTCTCGGTGGCGTTGATGTCATCGCTCCGGTTCTCGGGTGGCTTCTCCTCTTCTTCATCGTCGTCCTTGTCCTCCTCCTTGTCATTCCGAAATAGCTGACCATGGGATGCCAAATGTTTCCACTGCCACTGGCTTGGAAGCATCACTCCTTCACCAGGGAAGAGGTCCTCAGCCAAAGTGTGTCCAAAATGTTCGGTGGGCTACTTGGCAGGGAAGAATCTGCCTCTATCAGATCTGAGAAGCCAAGAAATTGTTCTTGATTTAGGAATCTTGAATGGGTTGCGGAGCTTGTCTAAGGTGGCAAGTGATTAAAGGAAAAAAGCAGGGTGCAGTTCGAATGGCAGATTTCCTATCATGGTTTCAAAATCCACTGAAGAACCGCCAACATTGGGGTGCCAAACAGGGAGCGGAGATGTCCAATGCCGGCAAAGCCAAGCATTGATAAAAGCAGGAAGTGGAGATGGCACTTTAAAGGGCCACTAGAGCACGTTCATCACTTTCCGTATGTATGGCCTTTCTGGAGACGTCTCAGTGACTTGAAGGCCTTGCTCTTTAGTCGGTCTACATAGTAGATACTACCCCAAAACATCATTTATTCCTTGCAGATACCGGACTCCTGCAGCCTTCAGGTCTAAATTTTCTGCTGATAATTCCAAGATCGTTCTCATCTGTTCACCAATCCGCGCAGGCCCGAATTGCTCTCGGAAGAGTGGCCCAAGCACGGTCCGACACCTCTGCAAAAGAGCTGGATCAGAATAGAGCTTGTACATGGCTTTTGCCGCGGCCTCCACATCTGGATCTGCCCATCTTTGGTCAGAGGTGTACACTTTTTGAAAGTGCTCTGACACATTTACAGGAATGTAAGCATAGGGAATCTGCAGGAACTGAAATTCGATCGGAAGCTTGGACATGAACTGCATGTTGCCACTGTAGCCTGTTGCAATTACCGGCTTTCCCAGCATCAGCATCTCCAGCAATACCAGGCCATAACCCTCCGAACGATGTAAGGACACCAAAACGTCCACAGAGGCCATCAATGTGTTGAGGTCCTCCTTGGAAAGCACTTCGGTCATGATTCGGACATTCCTTGCTTTGCTCACCATGTGCTCCAAAAGGGCAAACTCTTGCTCAAACGCAAAAGCCCCCTTGGGTAAAAGGCATTTGATCACCAGTAGGACTTTGGGTGATCCTTCTTGCGCCTCAAATGCGCTTCTGAAGGCAGCCAACGCAGCCAAGGGGTTCTTGCGATGAAAGCTACTCAAGAAATCAAACATCACCAAGAAGACTGTAGTGCCTCCTGGGAAGTTGAAGCGCTGCCGATTTTCTCGATAGTTGGTCAGATTCATGTCCAAACCCATGGGCATTGTAGTGACAGGCGTCGTTCGGTCGTAGTCGGGCGATGACAAAATCGACTGGGTGACAAAATCTGACACTGTCCAAACCTCGTCATAACGCTGCAAATAGCGCAGCCACGAGGAGGGAAATCGTTCAAGCTCCCAAGCCCAATATCCAATGTTGTGGTGCCTTCTCCACTCTCCAGTGGGATAAACTCTCGTAACTTCATCTGTGTTGATCGCATTGGCCACAAACAAGTTGACGGAGTAGCGAGGGATCCGAGTGGTTTGCACCAACTTCACCTCTGCCACAGTGATTCACTCAATGAACTAGGAAAAGGTCCTACCATGTCTCATGGCTGCTAGGGCGCTCTCGTTCGGAATCTAAGAACATGCCTCCAGACATTCTGGGAAAACATAACATGTCACTATATGATATGTATCTATACAGTCTATGCATCATAATGCATCTGTCTATATTGTGTACCATGTTTGAGACACATTCAATCACATTCACCTGGTTGTGCATTCCGGTGGTCGGCAGCAGAATGGCGGTGGAGGGTATCTCTGCCACTTCGAGTGCACGGAGCGTCAAGCGGCTGGCCTCACCTACCCCAAAGACCCCATTCAACCAGCCATAGACGTTCACGCCAAATGGTAGTTCATCCTTTCGGATCTTGAATTGACCTGAAGTCGAAGTGTTTTTCCAATCTGGAGCGAGAAAAACGGTAACCAGTGCTGAATGGGGGAATAACACACACAAGAAAAGAACAAGCCGCTAGATTTGCCAGTTGACTCATCTGTTGACGCTTGGCTAAAAAGTGAGGCACGAGTGAGATCTCGATCTGTGGGAGTCCGTCATATTGGAACCAGCGTCGTAGCTCTGCAGAATCCTTGCCGAAGGGATCCGGAAAAGCGATCTGCAAATCCTTAGGGCAAGCGATTTTGACTCAACGGTCCAAGCCTGTCCAGCGACTGAAAGGCATTCCTGAAAGGTTCCCCAGTTCTATAACCCAACTGACTTATATGAATCGAGTCAGAGCCGTTGTGTGGATATTGTGGAGACTAGTAATAGTAATGAGTACAGTATTGCACGTTCAATACCGATACCACTGGACCAAGCGGACCAAGGCCCCCACAACAGACACAGCAACGGTCCAAGTTTGTGCTTTTCTTGGTTGAAAACGGTAGCTCTTTGTGCGCTGGGTTTGGTGTAGTATTTTTGTGAGTCCACGCCAAAAGATGTTGACCTGTGAATGTTAAGGGTCCACTCTTGAATACAAAAAAGACTACAGTACTTACGAGCAATCCTCCCCAACAATCTGCCCATCTAGGTCTTCTGCGCACATAATCTTACCGTATGTACTCTGATCTAGTTTCTTATAAATCACAAGATAAGTCCTGATGCAAATCAAGGATCCGGTCGAATCTTGTAGACTTGCCACAACAATTCCGGCACCCAAAATTGCCCACGTGGCTCGATCACAAAGTGGTGAGCTCCTTGTAACATCCAGGACAGCACCGAAAGCTTGCTCTGGACGTGGATGCTAAAGGGATCCTCATAGGCCACCAAGTCGCGAAAAAGCCGAGCATCATCTTGGAAGTTTTGGGGAGCATCCAAGATCTCTCCGTAGTACTTGCGGATGAGATCTGGGATCAAAGTGCCATCTTTAAAACTATCAAAGCCATACGGCACCCGGCGGCACATTGAAACCATCGACTCATTGGAGACACTCTCCAAATACTTTCGCAAGATGGGTCGCAAGTGAATCAACTGTGGCAAATCACGATGCTCAGCCACTTTGGTGTTACAATCATGAAGGCTTGACAAACCTGCGAAGTGCATGAAAACCACTGGCTTTGAGTCATACATGATCTGATCACCCTCTAGATGAAGGTGGCTACCACGATAGTGAATGTTCCAGAAGCCCACATTGTAGATGGGATCTTGGAGAACAAGATATTCATCACCTGGGAAATACGAAAGAATCAGATCAGCGACGCTGCGGCCGGGCAGTCACTTGCGCACTGGGAATTTCGGTCACTTGCGCACTTTGGGTCACTTGCGCACTTGGCATCAAAAATTTAGGTCACTTGCGCACTTACCTGCTTCCTAGCAACGGGTGGTGCCTACTCCACAATGAACTAGTGAATGGGTTGGGGTGGGGGGTGGGGGGTGGGGGGTGGGGTGGGGGGGTTGCAGTTGCCAACCATACAAAGGGACTCTGAACTGCTGAAAAGGTTGCCAAGTTGGACAAGGTCAACATCTTCACACACACACACGCACGCACTCACGTTTTGATTGCCTTTCAAAGCATACTTCTGCCATACAAACTCACTTGCGCGCGCAAACTATAATGAGTGGGTTGGGGTGGCAGTACTATTGGTAGTAGTAGTAGTAGTAGCAGTAGTAGTAGTAGTGGTGGTGGTACTAGTAGTAGTAGTAGTAGTAGTAGCAGGAGTAGTAGTAGTAGTGGTAGTAGTAGTAGTAGTATATAAAGGTAGTGGTAGTAGTAGTAGTAGTAGTAGTACTTATCCGATGTATGATACAGAGGCATCGGTCTTGGGTTTCCCTCATCGGTTTTCAATGTATGCTCAATCGAAGACCTCGGTCTTGGGTTTACCTCATCGGTTTTTCAATGTATGCTCAGTGTAAGACCGACCAACCTAAAGCGTTTGGTGACGACATGTTCGGACAGTGCTCAAATGTCAAGTGTACAAGCGACCATAAATTCAAGTGCACAAGCGACCCAAATTTCAAGTGTACAAGCGACAGCTCGCCCGACGCTGCTATCAAGGTGCATTTGTTTTTGCGGATTCGGCCATCCGCACGCATAATGAATCACCCGGTCCATCCAAATATCAATCCATCGAAAGACGGCTCCGCCTTCGCTTGCGGACATGCCCACAAAATTTAGATCATAAGGCCTCTGAAAATATTGTTGTTGCTCCTTGCCGATGACTTCCAAGTTCAAAGGCTCTGTGCTGTGCGGGGTCATCACCAATCTGTGTCTGTCAAGTGCGCTCAAAACACTCGAGACAGGCTGCAAAAGCCAAGTCTCTGCATCGAAAAACAAGACCTTGCTTGCATCCCACCGCAAAAAAATGTACTTGAAAGCAGCTGGCTTTACAGCTGTCTGGAGACAGTCCTTGGAATAGCGAAATGCTAGCTCGAGGTAGCTGATATTCATATATGGCGCAAGTAGATCAAGGGTCACCACGTGCCATCTCCGTGGCACACCTTGCAGGATCTTCTTGGGGATCTGCTTCTTCGCTTCAAGCCACATGTCATGGTTGTCTGACACGACCCACACAAAACATTTTACTTCCGGATGGAGCACTTCAGCACGCTCCAGAAAAGAGGTCACCAAGCCATAGTTTTGAAAGGCTCCGATGGTGAAAATGCAGGTCTGTCCATTCGATTGTATCACGAAGTGGTCATCGGCATTCAGCAAGAGATAAGTAGCCTTCCTGAAGGTCCATACCAGAGAGATTGCCAACAAAACCAGGGCCAGCTGGCGAATGTATTTCATTCATTCATTCATTCATTCATTCAATAGCGCGAACATGAGAACCAAGGATATCTAAGGTCCAAAGGCACTCGAAGCGTCAATTATATAGCAAAGATTTGTTGGCTGAATTTGAATTTGATTCTGTATTTTTCACGGATCGACAAGTTTTGCATGTTGTAACGGCTCTGAGGAGCTTGAGATAGCTTGAGCCGGAGTCATGCGAGTTCTTGGTGCATGTTCACACTGCTGAATCCTGCGGTTGCTGAAACTCATGCAGCTTGAGAATCTCTCGGACCTCCCTGTAGACTAACTTAGCATCAAACAAACAAAAAATCGCTGAGCGCTCCATTTCTGAATAACATGCAAACCAGGGCTTCCTACAGTAACTCTATCTCTTGTCAACCTACATCAGTCCTTACGATGTGCAACAAAGAGGCTGTGACCAAATGACCAAACCCAACAACCAAACCTGCATCCTTCAGCCGTGTCAAGGGTCTACAACCCAAATCTCATCAAGGCACAAATGTATAGCAGACCGTCTCATTGAAGAAATGCTGATGTTCATGCCTGACCAAATGACAAACAGAGTTTAAGCAAAAGCAAAACTACCAGCGCATCCAGCACTATATGATATAATGACTATATGTGAGTATTTTGTCCAATGCGCTGAACTAGGATGTCATCGTCATTTCGTTGTCAAATGTTGTCACGTAAGGCTATGGCAAAAAAGTAGTCCTGTGAGAGATCCCAAATAAGTTGAGCCGTAATGTTTGAACAATGTGGAAGAAGCTCGCTGCATGGCAACTACAGCTGAGGTCGGTCCAAAATTCCCTACATCTGAGAGCGGTCATTAGGACAGGGCATCGGGCTTGGGTTTTCCTCGTCGGTTTCCAATGTTTGGTGAATTTCACTAACATACCGTATGTTTCCAAGCAAAAGTATAGTCATGGACATGGCGAAGCAACGGACAGCAGAGCATACAACTTTTCACAAGTTCAAGGACCTCACATATGCAGCTGCTAGTCCCTTTCTCTTGGGCATGTCATTTGAACCCTAAAATCTGCTCTCGAGTGGGCATGTCCCTTGATCGGGTGTCTGGAAGTCACTCCGTGGCATCGGTTAGGGCATCGGTTAGGCATCGGTCTATACACGCTGGTGAAAAACAGAAAATTAGCAAGTAGTAGTAGTAGTCGTAGTAGTAGTAGTAGTAGGTAGCAGAAAGTAGGTAGTTTATAGTATAGGTAGCAGGTAGTAGGTAGTAAGTAGTGAGTAGTAAGTAGTAGGTAGTAGTAGGTAATAGTAGGTACTAGTAGTAGTAGTAGGTGGTAGCAGGAAGCAGGTAGCAGGCAGTAGGTAGTAGGTAGTTTATAGTATAGGTAGTAGGTAGTATGTAGTAAGTAGTAGGTAGTAGTAGGTAGTAGTAGGTAATAGTAGGTAGTAGTAGTAGTAGGAGTAGTAGTAGTAGCAGGAGTAGGAGCAGGAGTAGGAGCAGGAGGAGTAGTAGTAGCAGTAGTAGTAGCAGAGTAGAGTAGTAGTATGTACGCACGTATGTGCTTATGTATGATACAAAGGCATCGGTCTTGGGTTTTCCTCGTCGGTTTTCAATGAATGCTCAATGTATGCTCAATGTATGACCTACCGATGTAAAGCTTTTGGTTCCAAGACTTTTGGACGGATCTCAGCTTTAAAAATTAGAAAATGCAAGTCACCAACAATCACAACCCAGCGGAAAAAGCATATCAATTCATCAGCGTTCACAACTCTGCTTTCTGCGCCGACGTGCACCACCCCACGAGACGAGAGGTTTGGCATGATTTGGCCAAGCCCCAAGGGCTTTTGTGCTTTTCTACACACAGATTCGCTTCCAATGTCGATAGAAAGTATCGAACGACTAACGTCTATGACTATGACAATCGAACAAATGAATATTCTTGTAACAAGTGCATTACTACGAGTAACAAGAAGCCACTAGGGGCTCCTGGCATCGCTACTAGGAGCAAGGACGCTACTAGGGGCTCCTTTCCTTACTACTAGTAACAAGAAGCTACTGGAGTGATGCACTTGTTACTATGTCTCATTCACGGGTCCTTTCAAACACAGCCATATTCGACCTCTGGCCTGGCAAAGCCACTCACATCGACAATGGTGCGGTCGTTGGGCACTGCCGTCGGGTTTGAGTGATTGGATGCTTTCAACGCCTAGCAGTTGGAAGCAACAAAGGCAACACACCCCGAGGAACAAGCTTCTATCCTGTTCCTTATTAGGTTGGAGGCCATCGCTTGTAGGTTGGAGGCCATTACTACTAGTAACAAGAAGCTACTAGTAGATCACCTAAACAGTTTGCTGATGTTTGCTGTGTTTTTTCTGCAATATTACGTTGGCGTATTCACTCAAGCCACATACCCACCAATTTTAGAACCGCTTTATACCGCTTTGAAGGATTCTTTTTGGACTCCCAAATCATTAAAGAGATGGAAAGTCATCAAGAATTAGCCTTGTGCAAAGTCCTCATTGTCATCATCATCGCCACATCATCTTGCGAGCAGCACCATCTTCATACAAATGCAAGCATATCCAGCGTATCAGTGCTCAACACCGTTTTGTTCTGATCATGCAAAGAATTCTACCAGTGTGTGCACACAACAGACGCACGCTGCTTCCTGTGCCCAGCTTCTGACATTGATCAAAGGGTTGTACGGTTGGAGCATGCACTTCAAAATGGCGTATGGTTTCTTTTTGGTGGAAGCATCTGTGGCGATCCTTTCCTTCAAACCTCACGAAAATAACATGCACATTGCAAACTTAGCATTTGCAAACAATGCATCTGGCCACGTCACAAGGAACCAGCTACAGCTAGTTGTCTTTCCGCACATGTGTAACACCATGTAACACCTACTATACTCACAAAAGAATGCAAAAGACAAGGGTGGTCCTGTCCCATCAAGAACCTGTTGCCCATCCTCCATGATGATCATCAGCTTGGACTCCTCTGCCAAGATCTTCATCCGCTGGGAGCCATCTGAGCTGAGCTCAACAATGCCGCCAAAGCTCAGCTGCAGCTGAGGCCGAACCTTTGAAGCCGGCCTGAGTGCAGACCAAAACTGCCTTCCATTCTTACATACACAAATCAACCCATTGATCCTAATGACCTTGTGTCCAAGTTGCTATGGAAGAAGAATTCCAAATTGTCCAGTGTCATAAGGACACAACTTGAGGTCCAGTTTCATCTATATATGTGCCACCATTTCCGTAGTAGAGAGACATGCCCTCTCAACCTCCTCATGGATTTACGGATGGTTCCGCTGCATCTCATACTCATGCACAACATTCCCAGACTTGACAGGAAAAACAAGACCCTGATGTGTATGGAAGTCCATGAAAACAAAAGAAAATTGCAGTTTCCTGAGTCTTGACCTCGGAAGAATCCAAGGCCAAGTCACTTTGATGAATTTGATGTGTTGCCATGCCGAGTTCGCACTGCGAGTCCTGCAGGGCACAGGAGGATGTCCCTTGATTCAATTAATGTGTCTCCAAGGGCTGAAACACAACTGAAGCCCCAGTGGACCTTTCCAAGGACTCTACAGTTCCTGACTTTGGGAGATTGTAGATCATGTTGTTCTCACAAATCAGGAATGATTCTGGAAAGTAGTTCAATTGGAAACCTACTGTACGCATGCATACACATGCACCCCCACGTATTCGTAGCCTGCAGAGCAGAGCAAGGCAAGGAAGCACACTCGCCACACCCTCATGGCGTCAATCTGTCCAAGACTCACGGGCCAAAGTGACGAAGTGGTAACACTCTCTGAGCCAAGTAGGCTAAATGCGAAGGCAATGCACTGCAGCTGGGCACTTCTCGGAAGGCTCAATGTATCCTGCCATATCCTACTCTTAGTCAAAAAGGTTTCATCGGTTTCATCGGTTTCAGCAAAACATGTAACGTCTGCGAGTGAAAAAGAAAACTTTGCATACTGAGCTGGCATCTCACATCCGGGGGGTTGATGCTTGGCCTACCTATCGTCCTTTGCACGAGCAGCATAACCAGAATTTGGCCGTACAAGTAGCAGTTACAGAATGCAAATGAGCTTTTGTGGCACCCAGAATGAAGTTTACTAGTCTAGTGGAAATCTTCAACCACTGTGAATCCGTCCCACTGACATGTCACTTAAAATGTGGGCTTAAAAAAGGATTGTGCAGCAAATGACTTCAGGTGCCGGCAACAGCATCGTTGTTGACACTCATACCGAACCTTGCAAGAGAAACAAAGCATCGTTGTCGTATAGCCATGGACCACAACAACAATGTGCTGAGCTATATAGGAAGCTTTTTGGCATTGCCACTCTTACCGGCAGTTTCTGGCACTCCAAGTCCATCTAACTGAAGGCAGGTCCAAATATCTGTTTGGAAGGCCCTCTTTCCCATCAACAGTGGATAGTTTGATGTTGCAGAATCCAAAAATTTTGGGTGTCAATACAAGTTGTCTCATCTGTACTGTATTCCTTGCTGCCAAAGCACTCTTCAAGCAAGTAATTCACGTTCGTGTTACTCTTGCCTGCCAGGTGGTGTCATCATACGCAAGCATAAAAACAAAAGCAGAAAGAACACACACTAAAATCAATTGTATGACTATACAAAAAAAGAAAGTTGCATACATAGATGTATGAAAAACATTCTTTATGACTTGTCAAAGATTAGGAGGCCTGAAAAACCACCGACATTAATTTTGAGAGATCGAAACATGCAGGTCTGTGCGGCCTTCGCCGCCCTCGCCAACAAGGAAAAGGATGCTACCTCCTTCACTCAGATAGTCCTGCCACGGTGGCCCAAAGCGAGCTGCTGAGCTGCGGGTGCGCCCAAGACGTTTTCAAGACCAAGCAAACCACCCCTCCATCTCTGTCTGTCTGATTACTCACAACAATATAATGCATCCTACAGCACCTCGCAAGGTGAAACCCACGATGGTTTTACAATCTCTTGCTTGCAATTCTCGCTACAAAAAATGCTGTGACTCGCCTTGATGGCTGTGAACTCGTCGCTGGAGAACATCTCCCGAGGCCCCGCGAAGATCACAAGGTTTGCAGCCTTTAGCCTGGAGACGTCGGGAGACGAGTAACAAGAAGCTACTAGTAGCAAAGGGCAATACTATGCATTACTACTAGTAGCTAGAAGCTACTAATAGCAAGGTCCCTTTCTAGTAGTAACAAGAAGCTACTAGTAGCAAAGGGCATTGCTTCTAGTAGCCCTTCTAATATCTAGAAGCTACTAGTAGCAAGGTGTCTTACTAGTAACAAGAAGCTACTATATAGTAGCAAAGGACATTGCTTCTAGTAGCGCTTCTAGTAGCTAGAAGCTACTAGCAGTAAGGTCCCTTACTAGTAGTAACAAGAAGCTACTAGTAGCAAAGCACATTGCTTCTAGTAGCGCTTCTAGTAGCTAGAAGCCACTAGTAGCAAGGTGTCTTACTAGTAGTAACAAGAAGCTACTAGTAGCAAAGAGCATTGCTTCTAGTAGCGCTTCTAGTAGCTAGAAAGCTACTAGTAGCAAGGTGCCTTACTGGTAGTAACAAGAAGCTACTAGTAGCAATGGCATTACTATGCATCACTACTAGGAGCTAGAAGCAAAGTAGTAACGAGAAGCTACTAGTAGCAAAGGGCATTAGCTTTGCAGCCTTGAGCCTGGCGACGTCGGGAGACGAGAAGTGCTTCAGCGAGCCTCCATGATGGACGAGGTCGTCAGGAAGCTGAAAGGCCCCAGCGGGTGTTACTTCCCTCTGGATTATCTGAAAATATCTCTGGACATCTCTGAATATACACCTTGAGTATCCTTCAAACGTGTGAAGCTCCCCAAGCTTGTAGTTGAGTAGAGTCAGTATGGAAGCTACGAGTACCCGGCCAAGCACTTCAATCTTCCTTCGGCTAATGATGTTGCTTCACGTTTTTTATCGAGAGCTGGATTGCTGGTAGGCTTCAGCCAAATCCAACCCTTGTCGACACCAACTTTTGCCGCCTTTCTAAGCTGATGATGTCTTTGTTGGTAGACACCTGTCAAAGACAACAAGAAGAGAATTGTGATTAGGCAATGCTGGCCAGCTTAAAATAATTGCAGCCTCACTCTTCCACACACACACACAAATACAATCAGATACGTACACGAATTCATTGGTCCAGGACTCATGAGCAATTGTTCATGCATCACTGCAGTTCATCTGGGTTTCCACATCAGAAACTGGGTTGGAGCACCTGCTGGTTGCATCAGCTTCCGGTCGTTTCAAACGAATGTTTGAACAAACCCAGCCGACCCAGGCCTTAAAGTCTTGTTTAATCCTTCGGTGCAGCTTCTTAAAGTTGTTGGAGGGATTGCCCTGGCCACACGAAGAAGCTGGCTGGTCACCAAGGCGTTCTCAGGGACCCCTATCCACAAATGTTTTATTAGGTTTATAGCTCCAATCATGAATCATCCGAATAGCCCTGTCGCACTAAATTTGCCAACAACCATTTGCAAACACAATGATCACATATGATCAAATGTTTGAAACATATTGAAACCAGTGAAATAGTTTGATCTACAAGGTGATGTGTTTTCTTAGTGAATTTCCAAGTGTTCTTAGCTCGATAGATTGCCGACCCTCTGGGTCCATTTTGTGGCTCTTCAACCGCCACATACGATCACAAATAACATGAAAAGGAAACGATGGGCCTGTTGTCTGCCCGTGCATCATCGCTGGTAAGCTGATTCGTTGAGTTGGTTGCCCAATATTGAAACCCAATCCACCGAAATCCCCTTGGACCAAGCGTCGGTCCATTATTTGGAACGGCTCTGGCTATGGATAGCTACACACTCGAAACACGTTATCGGTATCGTGTCTGTGGGTTGTGAAGGGCCCAGGGCATAGGGCCTCACAATGTACGCTGACAAATTGTGAATGTGTCAGGTGAACTTTGGTTGATACCGCTCTCCTGCTCCTTCTTGGACATGTCGAACATCACCTCCATGTCGGCACCACTTTTCACCTTCCAAATCGCTGAGAGCCAGTTCCCGTCATTGAGACAGAAATAACATGTTTTTCACCAGTGCATACACCAATCCTGCAGCACTAAATTCAAAACAGTTCCACCAGAGAGGAACATCTAGTAACAATATGACAATCACTCCGACAGAGCTCAGACGTCAACGCGTTTTGATTGATGCGTTCAATAATCACCCACCTGCGAAAGGACCCCCGTTTTTCCCGACAAAAGGCCCCAAACAGTGTTGTATAAGTAGAAAAAACGAAAGTGAATGAACGAATTTCCGCCGTCTAGACTTCACATATCAAAGAACAAACACTGCGACAGAACACATATGACATAAACGCGAGAGAACACCTGCATGAGAGAACACATATGAGAGCACACGAGGGCACGCATATGAGAGCACACATATCAAAGCACACACATGAGAGTAAACAAAAGAGACCACACATATTATGAGGACACGCATATAGACCACACATATTGAACACACATATCAAAGCATGTCAGAGCATAGGTGTGAGATGGTGTGAGAGACCACACACATGATCGCACACACGTGTGCGAGCATACACGTGCAAGCACACAAGTGAGAGCGCACATAATGTCAGAGCACATCGTTGCACTTCGAGGTTCAGAAAGCACCGTGCCTGCCATGAAATCTGCCACGAGGCTCACTCGTGCTGCACCTATTGCAAAATCTGCGCTTGCGCCTGCTACGAGATCTGCACTTCAAAGTTTACAAAGCAAAGCACCTGCGCCTGTTGACAAAAAGCGGTTCTGCACATCAAGATTCACGTCGGGCAGCCCTGCCAGTGCGTTTTGCAAACAAGCCTGTTCCAATGACCAGTTCGAGGTGTCAAAAGGGTGGCCTGCGCGACACTTTCTCGAATTGTCCATAGCTCATTGCTCACTATGCCTGCCACGAAGTCAGAGGACGCCGAACACCACAAAAAGTGCGGCGCACGCCACGAAGTCTGCACCTCGAAGTACAACCGCTCCGATCTCCTGCACCTGCCGCACCAAGTCGACTTCAGACCACCAAAACACGCGGATGCCGTGGTCTCCACAAAAAGTGACCACCAAGCCCGAAAATGTGCACAGACCACAACGAGAGCATAGTCGAGGCAAGCACCCGCTCGGGACCACCAGTGCGCGCGAGCCTGCGCAATCAGAATGCACTTCGAAGATCTCGAGGCATGAATGTGCTGTAACTGGCAGTGAAATAGCCACCCATGCCGGTGAGCACCCTCGCTCAAACCTAAAGCACCGCACTGTTTGGGGAAAGAAACTGGGTTATAAGACTGATTGGTCAACAGGTCGACTGGCAGCTGAAATCAACCATTTATGGATTGAGGTGTAGGAATGTCGTTTGTTTTGCTGATTGGCAATCGGCCTCGCCCCCCATGACTGCAGGAAGGCTTGCAGATCACAGCCTGACATGCGGAGCGATGCAAGGTTGTTTTCCATCTACTTCATAAAATACAGAAAGCAATCAAATTCTTGGAGGTCCAAAACCAAGAGTTCGAGGAAACAATTACTCGCCATCCCGCACTCAGCATGTGACCACACCCACGCTCCGTCCGGTTGTCTGTCGATTGAATCCCCGAAGAGCTTAGTTGATGCCACTGCCAGACTCGACAAATCAAAAGCGCCTGACTCTTGTTCCCGGTTGCGCTCCAGGCGCTGGTTTGGGCCACGAAGCGAGCAAAATCCTTGTGCATCATGTACAATCATGTGGTGTTCCAGCACAGACTGGCTTGCATGTCTAGCCTTGAGACACATCCATAATCTCAGGGGCCGGGTTGGCATTGGTTTTGAAAGTGAAAAGGATGCAAAAGGCGTCGAGGGAAATTCCGGGTGAACACGCACACACACACACACAACTGACGTGTTATCTTGGTTCAAAGCAGCCCAGCCATGCTCAACCAAGGCACTTCTTTTACCCAAGCGGATGCCACATCTGTTAAGCA